GCGCGCCGCCTGGGACATTAGCGAGGCGCTCGGGCCTCGCCTCGCCTCGCCCGAGCGCCTTTTGCAATCACTGGAGGTACTCTTTTACAAAAAAATAATCTAAAATCAATCTAAGAAAACAAAACAAAACAAAGTAGAACAGTTTAGTTAGGACTGGGCAAAATCTGCATAGGAAGGGCCAAAACCAGATAGGAACCTGGTGAAACCCAATAAATACAGTCAGAATTATCCAGAACCGAGTAATTTGTTAGATGCAGGTAAGAATCAAGTCAGCTCTGGCTACTACACTCCTATTTTTCAGTCAAATCTGGTTCACGCCAATAAAAAATGAACCAGGGAAAACAGTAACAGTAGGAAGGTTACGATGGAGAGGAGCATCTAAAATTGTGTGACCACTAAGCACTCTTTAAGACCTAAAGCAAAACTTTACAATATTGCCATACAACCATCCGTGATTTATATACTAGAATGTTGAGCAATTGCAGAAAAAGAAAGAAAAAAAGAACGTAGCTGATAATATGATTGGAGTCGATATCGATTAAAGCTGGAGAGGTAAAGAAAGACCAATGAAATTGTAAACAATTAAATGAAATATGATGGCATTTAAATTAAGATATAGTCTTCATGAAGTTCCTAACTTAATCTCCTCAAGAGTTCTCAAGTTAAATTTTGATGAGATTTTCAAGATATGCAGTAACCTCCAGTTCCACTAGATTGACTTAGAGATACATAACAGCTAAAATCAACAAAGTAATTAAAAAAATGCAACGAAAATCAGTTTTGTTGAAAACTATATTATTCTACAAAAAAGCATGCCACTACAGAGATGGCTATGTTTTGCTGAAAACTAGATTAAACTACATAATAAAATATTTAGTCAAAGCTCCAAGAACCAGAAGGTTATAAGCAATTCATGTCATAGAATATGTTGCAGTATACCATTCAATTGTAACATACCTATGCTGGTGCGAAGGGGCACCTAATGATCATTACATTTATATGCTGTTCAAGTGTCAAATGACTACACAAGCAAACAAAAGGACATCCATCAAATCATGGTACATATCACAGAGACCATAGCTATTAAATGCATAAAAAAACCTAGAAAACGACTCTGATGAGGAACAACTAATAATCAGCAAAAAAAATTGAAGAACAAGGCCAACCACCCAGGAGAGTTCTTTTCAAATATCAGACAGACATAACAAAAAATCATGCAGGTGGAGTGATCAGACCATTTAGGTACTTACTCAGAATCTGCCTGATCATCTACATCAGATTCTTCAGCAGCATCAGCATCTCCAACAATCACCCGTCTACCCTGATGATCTTCACCAACGATTCTCGGTATCAAAGGCTGATCATTCCGACCAGCTCCACCTTGACGAACATTTTGTAATCTGTCCCGTCTTATCAGTTCTATGTTGCCAGCATCTTGAGTGCCAATTTCCTCTGGTGGTGGTAGCAAGTAATCAGTCAAACCAAGCGCCCAACCAACTGCCGTAAACCAATGCCGTAAAAGAGATTTGATCGTTGTCCGTAGCTTGAAATGTTCAATAGCAAATGGTATGCAAATTTGGAACAGTAGTACATCAGTAGGAATTTCCGTGAATGGGTCGAAGATGCTGCATATTGCAAATGTTATGCTAGAGTAAGCAGTGGTTGACTCAGAATTGTGACTGTCAAATAAAACAACGACCAAATTTAAAAAGCTAGAAAATACGTACGTGATGTCAAAGGGGAACATGGTAGGTGCAAGGCGCATAGAAAGTTTGACGGGTAAAAAGACAAGCATCACTATCAAACTGCCATAAACAGCAACAGACAGCAAAACACGTCGTGCATGTTTATGCACTGGGTCATCAATAAGGTCACGAAATGGATTATAGTTTGGATCCGCTGGATCACGCAGAAAATATAGAACTCCATTACGCAACACCTACCAAGAACAGCAACGCAGAATGTTGAACAAATGTTGGCTTAATTAATGCAGTTAAGCACAAAAAACAGCAAATTAACTACAGCTTACCCCTCTAAGAAGACTCACAAAAATGCTGATTTGAAGCATGTAAACAATACCAACAAGCCAGTGAATTGAGGAGCTAGTTAACGGTGAGGCTGAAAAGAATTCTACTCTTTGAGCAATTGTTGTTCCCAGCATCCTCAAAGTGCATACATCAAGCCACCACCCACACATCAATGGGAAGACACCAAGTTCGATAACCAAAAGAAAGGCAACCTTGATCATGGTCATCAAATGTCTCATGCCTGCCAGGGACTGCCTAAGAAGAGAAGGAATTGCTTCTGCAATTGTAAGTATACTATAAAGCCTTCCAAATATCACCCGTTCACCTCTACTGTATCGAATCAAAGCAAGAAGCCCAAGATAAAAGATAACAAAGCAAAATATAAACATGTAGCCAACTGCAAGAGTAGTCACGTCGGATAGATGTGAGGAGCCAATCACTGTTCCCTTGAAAAGATCAGCTGAAATGGACCTGCCAACACTGTTGGATATATCATCTAGCTCGGTGGCATTCATTTTCTGTGATCCAGTGACCACCTCCATCATGTGCCCCAAGAGGCCTTCATTATTGCTTTCAGTCGACAACTTTGCAGCAGTCAATGTATTCTTCAATGTGCTGTTTGCCATAGACCGTACTGATAATGAGAGTGGCATTACTTTCCCCATCAGAGGGCTAGAAACTGATGAAAAGAACCATGTGACATAGTAGAGGACAACCCTCCCTAACGAAAAAGGAAGGAAAACGACAACACCCAGGAATATAGCATTACTTGCCAGTACCTGTCAAAGCATTAAGAAAAAAATTGCTGAAGCAGTTTCTATGGACCAACAATCCTTAGAAAAATGTATTGAGTATGTGATATAATCAGGATCCCAGAAAAAAAATCCAACGAAACTAACAAAGAAAAGTAGGGAATATTCAAATTAAGAAAGTACCTCTCTTTTTTCAAATTAAGCTTTGATCAGGTTGTAACACTAGTAAAAACTACATGAAAAACCAAGTACCCAAGAAAATAAATCACAAAATACACGGGTACCCAAGTACCCATAAAAAACCAAGTACCCAACACTGTAAACCCATTTCAAGAAAAATCCATGCTACGTTATTTTATCAATTGTACATTGATAATCCACCATTTAAAATTAATCATCAGAAAACAAAATAAATCATCTAAATAATAACATAACTGCTTCCTTTTTTAGTAAAAAAAAAATAAGTTTTCTCTTTTGTGTGTTTAGCATCAATCAGGCATGAATATATTAATACCAGTCTGTAAGCAAGAAGTTAAGATCCAGCTAAAAAATCCTGCAAATCTCACAAAAATGACTCTATCGATCATCACCAATGTGTATTGTTGATTATGCAATAGAATGGGATGATATATCTTAGATAAATTCAAGCAATCAGCATTTTAGAATATACATCATGCTATCATTAAGATTGAAGTCCACAAACAAACAAGGTTATTTCAACATTAAACAATTACATTACTAGCCGATCATTGTATAAAATTCTCCAAAAAGATAAATTTTAGAATTTCTGCCCAAAAAATGTCACAAAAATATCAGAATCCACCTGCCATCTATTAATAATGGTAAAAATGTTATTTGACAATTTCATTACTTCCTACTAATTCCAAACTCTATATTGTGAAATATTTTACCCTCTGTTTGTCAAATATTAATTTTACAACAAAAAGCTTCTTCCATCCATTCCACCATTGGATACTAATCCAAGTTCTAAAGAGTGGAGCAACAGTATTATATCTTATTGATACCCTTGTCTTTTTTCTTATCCGTTGATATCCATAATAGTATTTCATCTATCTTTTACCATTGTATTTTTCTCTTCCCCTCTTTTCTGTCATTTATTCCAAAATCCAAAAGAAATTAAACTCGTCATGCTCTTGTCCTATGACAGATTCCCTATCATAATTTGAGTTGGGATCATTCTTGGATATGCTTTATAGGTGGAATTGCATATATGAACAAGGGAGAAGTTTTTTCTACTAAAGTAGTATCACCTAAGCTCATGTTTTCAAAGGAACTGGCAAACGGTACCTAAACTTCCAAGGGGAAACCAACACAACATTGCTTAATGAACTTTATGCTAACTGATATCTACAATTACATGTGTTCGTAATGAATTAATAGTAAAATTAGTAAAAGTAAAAAAAATAGCATACTAACCAAAGGTAAGCATCTCAAAGATAAACATCATAAGCCTTTATAAGATGAATTCATACTAGCATATGTAGACATGTACCGAAGATTCTTCAAAATATTGCAATCAGAATCATTCTGTGTACATAGAACCACAAAAATCTAAAACCAAAAGCCAAGCGGAACATGCAATGAGTTATGCATGCAAAAACATACAAATTTTGAAATTACAAGAAAAAAGAACATCTATACAGGACCACAAGAACTCCAGATGCCAAGTCTACAACTTGATGGCAAATAATACTGATGACTTCCAGAATGACCGAAAGGGCACTTGGGATGATAAAAATGGTGTTGGTTCTCAGAACAGCTTTAGTTTAGACTTGATCTGTTTCATTATTGGACTTAGCAAACACCATTTGGTTTTATCTAATTCCCAGGTTTAAGACAATTAAACATCACAAAATCACTTGTGGGTGCATGCCAATGAAAAGATATAAAAGAACTGTTATGATCCCTTGGAAATCCACCTATAACCCATCTGTCAGCCTACCCGTTCCCACCCACTGTTCCTCTTTAACAGGGCCATATTTTCCTCCATAATACTACTCCAAAACAGCTCTAAAACCCCAGATGTCCTGACCTATAAGCCCTTAAAAAATCAGACCAGCATCCAAGCCCTTGTTTATGACCAAAATATGTTATTTTACATACTTTCAAATTCTAAAATACATAAGAACATACAACAATCCACCAAAAAATCATCAAATACCTAAACCCAAACCACGCAAGCGCTTATTTACAACCAAAATCCATTATTATAAATACTTTCAAATTCTAAAATACATAACAACCTTCAACAATCCACCAAAAAATCATCAAATACCTAAACCCAAACCATCGAAATTTAGTCCTTGTGTGAGTATGATTTCAAGAAAAACTAAGAATGAATCAGAGTTCAGAAGCACTTTCTTTACAACTATTTAAACTAGGTAGCCGCATTTATATAATATTCTCACATTGTTCAGACCTTGAGCATATCTGTTGCTAATAAGGACTGTTTTGATTTCTCTGTCTTAGAAAGAAGAGACGTTTGGACACTGCATTTATATTCATAGAACCATTATCATCATAAATAAATTATGTTGAGTCTATAAACTTATGTGACATGACTATGTTAATTTATCTTAATGGAACACCAATTATGTTTCTTAAGATAATCTCTTCAATAGCAGATTGTTAAGTGACTAAGTATATAAATTTGTATGACAAATGACAAAAAGTCAACAACAATAGAATGGAACAATGTAAGCTACAAAGCAAGCACATGCACCATGCATGAAGCATGAAAATAAATAGATATCCACAGGAGCACACAGGTACAAGACCAAATGCAAGATAAAAGAAGCATTAGAACACCAATAATCCAGCACACATCCAATCACCCAACCAAGAGAACAAAATGGCAGTAATCAACAGTAAAACCACAGGCAAATTTGCTATAATGCTGGAACATCACCAGTAGTCAGGCTGCTCTCATCCTCTCTACAACTGTTTAGTGGTCATGACACCTGATCCCAACATCCTGGTTACTCTGATTAGACTTTCATGTACACACTACAAACTTGTAAATCTAGAATCTTGTAAAAACCAAAGCACTATGACAACCAATAGGTTTCTCATCCAGTTTTAGTAGGTTGAGGAAAAAAATATCCACACTTAATTCCCACATATTCTACTAGATAAAACCTAAAATATTTCAATTCATCGAACAGTAGGAAAATTGGGGAAAAAAATGTGGTGAACTAAAAGAAAATTAATGACCTAAAACAAGTAGTAAGGATTTGGTTATAAAGCTCGCCCTATGCTCAAAAAGTTCACCAGCCACCCACAAAACAAGAATGTTCCCACGAGATGAAGTTTATAAATCCTATGCAAAACCACATTTAGAAAAAAAAGACATAGGAGCATGAAAAGTTATGAATCTGAAAACAGGAGAAAGAGAAAGAGAGAGGAGAGAATAGTGGAGACAAGTTGAGAGAGAGAGAGAGAGAGAGAGAGAGAGAGAGAGAGAAGATCTTCTGCTACTTAGAACATCCAAATCATTCGTGGAATATCAGAACAAACACTAAAACTAGACAAAAAACTTAAGAGGTGCACTTACCGTTATGGCATTTTCAACCAAATGGAATACAGGCCCTTGCATTCCAACAAGCTCATCAAATGGCACATCTTCAGCACCATCAGCATCATCTAAACCATCAAACATCTGTTCAACATGGGCTTCAAGACGAGCAGCCTGCATTTCCAGCCGAGCAGCAACATTTTCTGCATTCCGTCTAATCATTTGACCAGCCCCAGCAATTCCTTGAGCTCCGCCTCCATCTTCAGCATTCCCATCACCAACAGGGATCCTATTAACAGGGCCAGGAAGCCTCCTGACAGCACGAGCACCATTCCTTTCCTGACCTTCATCATCCCTCTCAGCATCATGTCCTCCAAGTTCTCGTAAGTGTCTAAAATAATCTCTTAAAGAGGTAGCTCCAAGAAATATAAACACAATGCCGGCCGAAAGTAGAAAACCATGCAAGCAATCGGTGAGTATTACGGGTACAGATATGTGACTCAAAAACAGCCTCTGAGCTTCACCGAGACTCCTTACAAAGGAAAGGCGCCAAATCCAAAATGTAATGAAAGGTATCATAAGGAGCCAAACAGAAAGAACAAAAGCAAGACGAAGGAAGAATTGCAAAACATGGCATGCTTTCATTGCCATTCCAACCACAAATTCTTGAAAGGGAAGTCTTGAAGGAGCATTGTCAGCATAAACAGGGGAGAAGGAAAAGGTATGTTTACAGACCTGCAAGCATAACAAATTTCAGAAGTGCATTATTTACAAGGTTAATTGAAAGAAAAACCATCAGAACCACACTACATTATAAAAGATGTACTGCCACCTAAATTCTACAGAACTAAAGCAATCAAGCAAATAATGTGACACAAGCCAAACATACGTTTCTCACTTTTAAACAAACCAAATTTAACATGGTTGCAGCTGGACATTGATTTTTTTTTTTGTTCGCTAGTCATGGTATGACTTAAATGCAAAGCAGAGTAGCAGTCAAGAAGATATTGTAAAGTGACACGAAGTGAAGGATGGAGGTGATTCTCCACAAGTTAATTCACAGAAATGGAATGATACTGGTTTTTTTTCTTTTTCCTCTTTGTTGTCAAGTTGCAAAGATCAGTTCATGAGTGAAGATGCTGGCTTTTTCAGATATGCTTAATAACAAGCAAGAATGGAGTGTTTTTTGGACATAATGCAAAATTTTACACCATAATCTTTTTTTTAATCACAGCCAGCATTTTCTTGTGTTTGGCTGTGTTATCATCAGAAACAACAATTTACATAATTGCACTTTGAAGATCAGGAATGAGTGTCATGAACTTTGTTTTTTCTTTTTTCTTTTTTTCATGATATGAGTTTGGTGCAAAACAGAATAGCAATCAAGTAATTAAAGTGATATTTATTTACAACAAGCCATAAATGCCAAATTCTTGGGTCAGCTGCATAAGTTTTTTTCTCATCATTATGCTATGTTGAGAACAACCTAAATAACAGCATATGTCCATGCATGCAGTTTAAACACTGGATCTCATGAAGGTCAGTGTGGTGTTCCCTCAACAAATAAGGATGGAAGATCAGGGAGATCCTTCACCGCTAAAATTTTTAAAAAATATTGAATGAAACTGTTTCAATTCTCTTTCTTTCTGGACTGCAGGAATCTGAAAGATGGCATCATTCTAAGAGATGCCGAATAATGGTGATTTTAACTTGGAAGAGTAGAAAGTTCTACATTACATTTGATGTTTATGATTTTTATAAAAACAGAAAGCATTTTCTTCTATTTTCGGTTGGAATATGATTTTTATACCAATTCATTCTTTACCATAGCCTTAATTTACCAGTTCCTTTCTGAATCCTTCTTTTACAACTTCCGTCTGCCAGGAATCAACATGATACTTGGAATTCTTTCACGGGACATTTGGTATAAATCAAGCATATGGGAAAATTAACACCTATGTATTAGAGGATAGTGAATAATAAACACTTTCAAACAAGGACGTTATACAATCACATCTAGTGAAGTGTGTGTCGGATGTGCTAACCGCTCGCATCATGATCATTCATACACAACAAAAAGAACATAAAGTGGGCATATATATTAAGTAATACATGGGTTTCTTTATAATTTAAATATGTGGCAATAGATAATTTATCAGTTTTTAAAGAGAACTACCCAAATGTAGCATTAGGAATCCAATTAGTGCTTGATCACCTGGAGTAAGGTGTAGATCATTCTACAACGATAACTGATAAACGTGGGTTGATGCCATGTTGGGAACCAAGAAATGGCATACAAATGGGATGATGACATGATGAGTTCGATTACTGATCCCCATGGTTGTCTTTATCTCTATCTTGGTTCGCACATTTCAGCAAGCAATTCATAGAACTCGGAGCGCAATCCTATTCACAAGAATGGGTCTCACAAAGTCCCGCGAGATGGTCTGGTCATTTCATCTCTGGGGAACTAGAAAGGACACGTGCAACTTAACTGACCTACACCATCGACATAAAAACGATTCAACACCGAGATCGCGCTAAATCAAGATGGAGCACTCAAACCCTAATTTCTCGACAAAGGACACAAGACAAGAAAACCCTAGCACCGATAAGATCGTGGAATCAAGGCATCAAAGAGACCCTACCCCGGACTGGCAAGCGTCGCCGTGGCTATCTCGATCACGACCAAAACCGCGTCGAATCAAGAAGAGGCGACCAAACCCTAATTTCCCGCAAAGAACACAAAACAAGAAAACCCTAACACCTAGAAGATGGTGGAATCAAGACACCAAAGGGTCCCTACCTCGCACTGGCGAGCGTTGCTGTGGCTGAGCCACTGGAGGAGGCAGTCCTGGTGGACGAATTTGATGCTCCCGCTGCAGGCGCAGGGGTAACGAAGCGGGTTCTCGGCGTCTCCGGGGTTGCGGCAGATCCGGCACACGTCCCCCTCCTCGTCATCGTCGTCGTCGCCGTCGTACCTGGCCACGGAGGAGGCGCCCGCTGCCAGGGAAGGAGGTAGAGGAGGAGGTGGTGGTGGTGGAAGCAGAAGCCCGTCGACAGACGAGGAGGAGGAAGGGAAGGGGCGATCAGCGATCTCCTCCATCGGTGAAGCCGCTCCCCCTTCTTTCTCGCTCGATATCACCCTCTATCGCTTCCCTTTCCGCGATCCCTCTAGACCCGAGGCGCGATATCTATGAAGCGAAGGGGGAAGGGGCGAGGAAATTGAAAGAGAGAGAGAAAGGGAGAGAGAGAGAGAATAAATATAAGAACGGAGCGAACTGGAAATGGCGTAGGGGTAAATGAGTAAATAAACAATTAGAAGTAGATGGAAATGAACCACGTCGGTCTGTTACTTGTCGCAGAGTCAGTTTCTTGGTGCGTGTCACCTTCCGGAAGCCAGCCAACAGTATGCGCAGGAGATGTAGGCCGGCCCAATTAACAATTGGGTTTGAGTTGGATTGGGTTGGGTTTCCTTGAACCGGACCAGCAACATTTGAACCCAACAGCTGGTCATTCCCCTAAATTTAAATTCAGTATATAAAAACCCTGCATATATGCCCATTAAATCATTTAAAAATTATAAACTTAATAGTAAAAATGTAAGAAATATTATGCACATTTTATAGAACCCCGATATAGTAAATTGTAATCATAATTAGAAGTGATTAACCAAAGCTTAGTGGAAGGGATATGGCATGGAGTTAGATGAACATGCATGTTGTATTAAATTTGTGAGTGATAGATATGAATGAAAAGATCCTTAAGATGACTGATTAAAATGCAATGTAACTAAAAATAATTTTGTATTAGAGAACTTTTGAACATCAGATTAAAAAAGACACAACAATTATGATGTGTTTCAGTATTAAAAGATTATTCATTCAGCATACATCAGTCAGTGTGTGCACCACAAGACCAATCAATCAATGCGCATACTCTGAACCCACAAAGAGGAATCTTTCATGTTGGGTGTCTGATGTGTGTCTGCACCAGCAGTGCTTTCCCTCAGCAATGCACTGCAGAGTGTTCTTAAGAAAGCAAACTCATTGACCGGAAGAGCTCACAAGCAACCCTCACACATGGAACCTCAGTTTGAATAGTGCGAAGCCCAATAATGGTCAGAAGGGCAGGGAAAATGTGGGATGTCTCGAACTGATCAGTGATAATGACCAAAAGAGCTCACAAGCAACTCCGATACATGGAACCTCAGTTTGAATAGTGAGACGCTCAATAATGGTCAGAGTGGCAGGGGAAATGAGGGATGTCTCGAACTGATCAGTGATAACCTTTTGAGGCATTCAGTGTCACCATCCACCATTGATCACTCACTCTCTCTCTCTCTCTCTCTATCTTCAAAGCGATATGCCCCCCTTTATATGTGTCTTTTCAAGTGGTCCAGAGCTGCCACAAAAAGCAGCAATGAGTGTTCATGCAGCAGCAGCAGCAGCAGCAGCAGAAACAATGGCAACAGCAGCAGCTGGGGGAATCACATGCAGACCCCTTTCTGCTCTTCTCAGGCCCTCACTGTACCCTCTCTTTCCCACCAACCAAGCCAAAGAGGGGGAGAGAGAGAGAGACAGAGAGAGTCGAGTGCTATCACCGAGAGACCTCGAAGAAAAAACTGTGAAGGAAAGAGGAAGCGACCAAGAAGAAAGTGGTCAAATGGCCACGAGCTTTTGAGGTCGGATGCTGATGAGATGGGAGCAGCCTTTCTGTTCCTAGTAAAGAACTTGTTCGCTCCTGGCGCAGCAGAGGAGGAGGAAGAGAGGGAAGGGAAGGGAAGCATGTGTCCAAAACGGGAGTAGGCTTTGAGGCCGGCCAAAGGAAGACGTAGCAAGCAAAGGAAGGGATTCCGTGGAGTGGCTACGCGACTCTTATCTTTTCTCGTCACCGCTGCCTTTGGCTCTTCCATGGCTCTCAAATTATTTGATTGGACTTGCTATGATTGATATGCATATTTCGGGCACTGCCTTTTCTTTCTTTGCGGTGGAAGTCTATAAGTATATTACACCTTACAAGGATGATTGAGACGTCGAAATGAAGTCTGTGGATGGAGATATATGCTGTTTAGTAGTGACATGAAGGTACTGACTTCTGCATGCACCAACATTTCATATCATTATAGATGAACTGATCTGGATATGTTTTATGTAGCAAAGCCTTACCCTTTTTGAGGGAGGGACTCCTGATCAATCCACAAGGTGGAACAGCAAGGACATGGAACAGGAGATGTGCCATCATTGATGTTTTGGCCTTTCTGCCATTGTCTTAAATGTTGAACAGCTCTTCCCCTGCTCCACTTGGTGAAAAGCATCAACCAATACAAGTGTAACACACAAACAAACACATTATTTCCATCACTCCAGGCATGGTGATTTAGCTCACAGAAATGCAATAATCATACCTCTCTCTCTCTCAGTTGTTCTTGCTTATTATTACTATAATTTTCTGAATTATTTTTTGAGATATTTATAACAAAGATCTCAACTCTGTGTGGTTGTATCACAGAATGTTTGGATGTGAAAAAGGAGAGAAAATTTATTGTACACCAAAGTGCAGTAAAAGAAGCATTTATTGAATGCTTTCTTCGATAGGAATGAACTATTCATCTGGTACAGCCAGTACTAGAAGGAATTAATGACTGGAATGCATCACCTCTGTTTGCATTACCTTTGGGGCCAGCATTGAAGTTCGAGGAAATTAGATGCAGTATAGACTGGTAACACAACATAAGATGCCAGTTCCTTTGCATGCCAAATCGGAGACAACATTAGTACCAAAGGAGGGCCTGTTGTCTTGGTGAGATGGATAGCATGCATTTCTGCAGTTCATCATGTGCAAATGAAATGATTTTAAGCAACAATAAGCAGGATTTATGTGCACTATATATGTCTTTAGCTTGGCTAACATATTGGTGCTTCTTGTGTGCTAAATCGATCTTCATTTCTAAGGTGACAATCTTTATTAGCCATCAAATACAAACCCCATATATGTAGGTTTACAACACTATCATTCATCCTTCTCTGATCTCCGTTCTCCGGTTCTTCACTGCCACCGACTTTTACAAGCAAAGGTAAGAAGACACAGAGAGCAAAGTGCAAAAACCAAACACCATTGAGCTTAGCAGCGTAGCAGCAGAGCCTTTCTTTGAACACAGGAGAGAACCACTTCAAATGAAAGCATCTAATCTACCAATTCTTTTACATCAATTCTTCCCACCCTTTTAGCCACAGATGCCGTATCATCCGCGCTCGAAAGGTTCGTCGATGTCTTGTGGTAGTGGTGCGGTCGAAAGCTGCAACAAAACATGGCCGAAGTGGGTTCTTCGACAGCAGAGGCAATGGATCCCACCACCCAAGTGTCCTTTTGTTTTAGCTGGGCCTCACGAAAGGTTGCAAGTCCTGCTGCTGCTGCCAATTGGAAGGCAATGTTGCTATTTGTGGTGGGAATCCTGATGATGCTGCAGAAGTGGTGGCCGAGAATAAGTGAGACGGTGGCGCGGCGGCCGGTAGCCAAGTTCCGCTGCCTTTCCCCTGGCCTAAATGACTCCATCGTTGCTCACCGGCGACTGGAAACGAAAGCCCTGCAGCAGTCCTTACTCCTTCGATGCTGCCTGCATACTGCATCATCGAGGAGTTACACGATTAGCTGCGTCGAAAGCATCACAGAGAAAGATCAGTTTCGATTTGAATTGGGGACACCCACTTGATGAAATCTAGGGTGACTGAATTGCTGTGGTATGATTTGGACCATCGGCAATGTCTCACTGTTCCTTTCGAGCTGTGGGTACTTGCACACCTCATCGGCCTCGACACGAACCGGAGAACGAAGGAAGCCAATGTTCTGTGATCTGTTGCTTCTGCTTTCTTTCTCATCGGGCAGCTTAAGCATCTCATGAAACTGGTGCACATGATAAATGTTTAGCTACGAGCAGCAACAAGCAGATCGGAATTATAAGTTATACCTTCAGTCTGGTGTTGCGACTCCATTCTGGCTCGAAACCAAGAGGAACTCCTTGGTCCACTACCTTGAAGATTTTGTCGTCCCTCTGATCGAGGTTATTCCTTTTGGATCCCGAGCTGCCCAGGCTCAGGTCGAGATCGTGCTCGGTTGTGCCAGCTAAATGTTTTGACATACAGATTATACAGTAATGAGAAACTTATCAAGCAGAGAAAACGATGACGACGAAGCATGCAGCTGCAAGAAACTCACTCTGGATGTCGAGATCGTTGGAGTAAATGCTAGGATCGAAGTTAGTAATTGCATCCTTTCCGCTACACTTGATCGCGGCCTTGTCATAAGCTCTGCATCTCCAAAACGAAACTCGTCAGAAACCACCAACCCTCCATTTCCTAACCATCGGAGAAGGACCTGTGAATGCTTTCTCTTCTTCTTTTTTTTCCTTTCTTCTTTACAAGAGTGAGTTTGAAGACACTCTGATTCTATGCATGAAGTAAAAATAAGATCTTTGGTATGAGAAATTAAGATCTCTGGATACCTGGCAGCTTCAATTTCAGTGTCGAAGAGGCCGAGATAAACATATCTGTCGAAAAAATGGATGTTAAACAACATATGAGCAGGTGAAGAGATCTAAGAGATGCAATGGAGGCAGCACTATACTTCTTCCCCAGGAACTGCCCTATTCTAGCCTCCCATCTCCCACACTTGTGCAAGGTGACACCCCTGTACTTGGAGCTGCCTCTCGGGAGACCTGTGCTCTGGCGTCGAAGCACATGAACGAACTCCTCCTTGGTGAGATTGCTCATCTGCAAACCAAGCCATTCCAACACTTGGAGCTCGATTCGACAAAAGTAGAAAAGTGAAGATCCAAGACGGACAAGGATCATGTTTCGTCAACTCATCTTCGTCGCACTTCCTAACCTGTTTCAGATCCTCCTGGTAGTCGTCCAAATCGAAATTGATGTCTGCGTCCATTCCACGGAACTTGATCGCAGCTCGGTCGTATGCCCTGCGACAAAATTGCCATTCCATGTCTCCTTTTTCATCTTCACGTGACCAACTCTGAAATCTAAGCCATGTCGGGCGAGAACAGACGGACTCACCTAGCAGCAGCATGTGCTGTGTCGAATCCACCTGCAGACAAAAATCCAGAGAAGTTATCAGCAGTTGCAACTCGTTGAATCGAAGGAAAGATTCATGTTAGCAGAATCTTTGTTCCTTTTTTATAATCTTGTCCATGAACATCTGGGTACTCACCCAAGTAGATTTGCTTTCCACAATCCCTGCACAGAAAGCGGAGCAGAAGAGGTGAGCATGAGACCGGAACAGGGAGCGAGGGGGTCGAATAGGCAAAAACTGGGTTCGAGATCCGATCTTTCGAGACTCGGGAGACAGGGCATCAGGAGAGAGAGCTAACCATATGTGGGATTCCCATCGCCCGGTCCTCCGGTAGAAGGTGACGCCGCGGTACTGGGAGCTCCTCGACCTCGGTCCCCGGCGGCTCTTCTTCACCGGTTGCGGCACCTCCGCCGGCTTCCCGATCACGACCCGCTCAGTCGAGTGGCAGAACCTGACGCCGGCCCAGTGGGAACTAGGTGGCGGCGGCGGCGGCGGCGGCCAGGAACTACCGTGTGGCCCGCCACCGTGTCGAGCGTCTCCTTGGTCGCCCAACGGAAAGAACTGGTGGGTGACCATCCCGGGCTCGCTCTCCGCGGAGAGGCTCTCCTCGCGGCGGCGGGAGATAGCGAATCCGAAGATCTTCCCGGCGCCGCCGTCTGTCTCCCCCTCATCGGCAGCCTCGACGACGACCACGGAGGAGCTGGAGGCATTGTTCTCGGCGTCGGCAGACGAGACCCCCGCCAGATTCCCGTTATCCTCCTCTCCGCCGTCCCCAGCCGCGGACGCCGCCGCAGAGGCCGTGCTGTTGAGATCCCACATCCCGTCCATCCCAAGACCGGATCTTCAGCTCTTCGGCCTCCACAAAAATCGCACTTTTATGTCCTTCCCACCCTCAAAATCAAAAATTTCTTTCCTTCCACGAAACAAAAGGGAAAAATCGTCTCCCCTATACTTTGTACAGCTCCATATTTATAGCTTTCTCCTCGCCATTTCCTTCTTCCAAAGCCCAAAAAACGTCGTCAGGCACCGAGGCAAAAAGGCGGCAGGGGAAATCGTTTAGATACCCAAAAGCAGCAGCTTTACTAAACTTGGTGCCACCCAAAGATTTGCATGAGCGGAAAAAGAAATATACATATATATATATATATATATATATATATCAATTATACATGTCTTAAAAGAGAAAGGAGCTTTCAGCACATTGTGGCTGTATGCATCCAAGCGTAGAAAGACCAAATGGGAAGGGAAGGTTTTCCTTTGGGAGAGGCAAGGCAACCACGGTGCTGGTGGATGATCTCACTCGAAGTATACTTCCCACCCTCCCTCACACACACATTCCTGCTTTTTCTTTTATTTGTTCCAATCCAATCAGTCACTCATATGGCTGCTGTCGAGCCCACTTCCAATTTTTTTCGTTTTTGGTGGTAGCGATGACAAGACAGAAGCCATCCCTGCAACGCGAAATCCTCTACCCAGTTTAACAGCCCTCGCTTCGCTCGAAGGAGCTTAACTACTACTGCTCCGCCCAGCTGTGTCAAGCCCATGGCTACGCGAACAATCTGTTTCGCTACACTCCCATCTCTGAATCATGATGCTTCTTTGTCCTTCACACTGTGAGCGGAGGATGCTCCCAAATCTGCATCACAGTAAGTCGTTCCAAAGTCTACATTGCAATAAGTTGGGATCATCTTTTGATGGAAGAGTCGCTGTCTCGAGGAATTTGATGTCCTGTTTATGGACGCTACACATTTTACATACATAATTTAGAACTCGTAAAAGACTGCTCTCGATCAGTAACTTGAAGATTCGCTTAAAAATATCTGCACGATGACCAGTATTATGCGGACCAACAACATCTGAACATGTTATCGGAGATCAAACGTCTCCGGTTGGTGGTCCAAAGCCGAGTTAAGGAATCAGCAGCATGCGTCTCGATAGCCAACTCGAGGATAAGCCCTCCGCACCAGTGGCTGCCATCATCAATGAGTTAGTGTCGAAGCTCGAGGATCAGCTCGGGTGTAACACCCTTCACCAAATCCACAAAATACAAGTTGCGAGTACTGTGGATGAAAACTATGGGTGTCAGATTGATTTGACGGGCATCGGAAACGTTCAAAGCTGGCCATCGAGGAGCCAGCTGAGACGAGATTTCTTTAAAGTTTATTGTCCAAATCACAGACAGGATGACCAGTTGAAGAAAACAACCGAGGAAGATGAGCTTTTAAGAGAGGACATGTAGACTGTTCCCACCACCCGAACCCATGACAAAATGGGGAAGGAGGGAATAATGGTATAAAAGGAAAAGAGACTGTAGAGGAGTCCAGTCCAAGAGTAGAGGAGGGGGGCGGAGGTGCAGAGGGCCAATCGGAGTCCGACGGACAGAGACATCGCCTTGAATGCCCATTTACTCTGACAGGCAGCCACCGGCCACAGGGCAGAGAAATGGAAAAGGAGAGGAGGAAAAAGAGAACCCGATGTTCTTCACTGTAGAGGGTCTTTTAAGATGCCCGTGGCATTTCCAGTAGCAATCAATGATGGGAGGAGGATGGTGAGCATTTTCCTTCAAAATTTCAGCATATTCTTCTTACCATGGAGAATCACGAGTTTTGCATCGGATTAACCTTATCCTGATACACACACAACACAGGTAGTGTTGTTGATGATGGGAGCAACGACAGAATTCATGATGGGGATCAACTACCGCTGGTATGCTTGGAACATAGTGTGGCTGACTTGGGTTGGTCATATACACTGGAAAGATACAAGGGGGAACCTGTTGCAGGGGACAGAAACAAGGAGTGTTAAGATCTGGGAAAAAAGATTTGGTGGTGCGTTGAACAAGGAAGCAGCATGATTGGATTGGGAAGGACAGTCCATGTTCCTGTGTGGCTGCCTGGCTAGCTGGCTGGCTGGCTGGCTGGTTGCGGAGGATGCCACTTCCCCCTTCCCTACATTGCTGCCATCGGAGGATATGTTGCTTTCCCCATTTCGGCTTTTGGCTGCCGCATCAAAATTTCCTCAAAAAATGGTTGTCAGAGAACTAGTGATTTCTCCAGGTCGAGAGCAATTGAATGGACGCTGACACATAGTTTAACCTCAGCAAGGAACTGTTCATCAGTTTTCTTTTTTTTTCTAATCTAATATTTTCTTCTGTAAGCCAACAGTATCAATTATGCTGCCACACGCACGCGCACACACACACTCTCTCTCTCTCTCTCTCACACACACACACACACACAGTCACTCTGATGGAGATGTTGATGCTCCTTTTTCCTATAAAAAAAAATGTGCGATAAATGATGCTCCGAGTACAACAACAGCTGGTTGAAACAGTGGATGATGTATCTTCTTCTTTCTTAATAGAGTTGGGTGAAGTCGTGATGGGTTTACTTCTCTAACTCACAGTGCCTCCAGTACGACGGGGCTTCGCTAGATTGAGGAACTTATTGGCCTTTGGTGCCTTACAATAATGGACGGCCATAGGCTGTACTTGTCAATTCACGCCCACATGACAACAACAGCGACCGCCACCATCATCTCTGCTCCCAACCGAGCAATTGTATGATGGTTCTTGTACGCAGCAAAGCAAATTAACATGTCGACAAGGAAGCATCCATGGTTCTTGTGTTGTCATCCTTATGTGCTTCGTGCTTTTAATTCCTGTAGCCGGTGGCATGATTCCAGCGATAGCCATGTTGGTGTTCTTCATCATACGTGGTCTTCCCCACCGCCCTCCCTTCCTTTTTCTGTGCTATGCCTCGTCTCGTCTTGATTCCGAAATCAATGCATTATCTTTTTACCGTCGTGTGCTTTGCCCAACCCCTAGTTTTACTCCTCGTTGATTAGTTGTACTGTGGCGGGAATAATAATTGCAGGCGGCTATCATCGCTATCCTCCTCCTGTTCTTGACCAGACTTACTGAATACAATATCCTGATTTGTTATTATTTTATATAGGATGGGATGAACCGAACAAACATAAAATACCTAATGTGGTTTCATTTCACTATTCCTTCAAACGAAAAAAAGGATGGCAGCATTCATGATGGGACAGCTCCAATAAATGTGCAGCAAGTGGCCGAATCCCACGGAACCAAGAAGCGGCCGGTTTCTCTTCAAAGGCACCAACGTTGGGTTGCCATGACACTTGAAAGAGTGGTGGTGTCCGAGAAGGAAGGACGAACCATCCATCCATCCATCCCATGGCTGCCTGGCTTGGGATTTTTCGTACATGGACCTCTTTCCCAGCACGTGGAACCTCCTCCGCCACCTCGTTGCTCCCATTCATGAACGGATGGGCTGTATCTGCGTCACCTCGGTCTCCTTCATGATCGATGCTGTACGTCTGGGGATCCTCTCCACGGGGGAAGTGGACGGTCGAGGTCGAGGTCGCGGCTGGCTTCGTCCGGCGTTGGAGAGGATCCCAACACGAAGGCAGCGCCTGGACAAAGGAAGGTGGGGCCGGGTCTACGTCGTGAGTAGGGGAGGGCGTCCCAACCGTGACGGTGTCTGGAATTGAAAGCGAACCGAAACTTGTTAGGCTGAGGAGACGAGGGCTTGCATTGCTGCAGAACGAGGGCGTGCGTCACGTGAGTAGGGCCGCCACCACATTACGGTTGAGAGGGGATGCACTCGTCGCTCCCTCCATGTGACCGACCGCGCATTTACCACGCCGCTGTTCTCCACAGTCGTACCGCGGGCAGAGAACCCATATGTCGCCCACCGCGTGTATTACCCGGCGTACGCCCTGCGCACACGATTGCTCGCATTCAGCATCCACTTGCTTTTCCAGCATCAGGAATCGACGAATGAGCAAGCACGAAGCATAAGAAAACATCAAATAAACGGATGCTGTGATAATTACATTACCAACGTATGACACTGATCACAACTTGTGTGTAAGACAGGGAGTTCTAGGCAAACGTAAAACAAGAGTTGGAGCAAAGTAGGGTTTGACTTGGACATCTCGCACACACACACACACACTCTGTCTCTCTCCCCCTCTGACATGTGGAAGCCGTGAAGCATTCATATAAAAGATTGGTCAGAGACAGCTGCCCCCATTTGAGTACCAGTGGCAATTGCAAACACGATTGAGAAGCATAAACATAATGCATTGATCACAGAAACAGCTGCCCCCATTTTGAGTACCAGTGGCAGTACTCAGTAGTTAACACCACTCAATTACCGCCAAGATTTACCCTTTCACCAGCTGTACCCGATTCGTGTCCACTTAGCAGCCTAAGATGCATCTCTCATCACTCATCACTCATCATTCGGTAGGTAGCTGACATGACTTTTTTCTATTTGAGACCGGTGCAGAAAACATTAAATATATTAAGGTGACTCTTGGAACTAATGAAGAGAAGGCATGGTCGAAGACCTAGAGAACATGAATATGGTATCTGAAGCTAGTGATGCCGGTGTTATGGGGTTCCTATGTCACAGGATAATTTCTGCGATGGCTGAGACGAAGGATGCGTAAGATATCAGCCGCTAATATGAACTCGTAAATAGTGATAGTGACTTACGTGATTTCCATCTTAGACTCGAGAATGTTTCTTGTTTTCATGCTTTATTTGCGGCGCTGCTCTAACGACGAAATCCCCTTGTAATAATCCCAACCTTTAATGTTGAAAAGCCTATCATGACAAGAAGTGAAAAGTAGAAGGTAAAAACCAAGCGGATATTTCACGTACCAATTTACCATCACCGTCGACGACTGGAAGTCTATGGTATTTTGTTTCAACTGGAAGACATGGTCCAGTATTCAGAACCTTGCACCATCTTCAAGGTTGGATGTCTCAGGAACCGCAAGAGCAGCGGGAGTTATCACCTCATCAATTACTCCAACCATTAGTTTTACTTGACAGCTTCTGGAGTCCATTATTTAATGTCTGCAGCAGGAAGATAAAGTATCAGTTTTCTGAATCACAATGTAGTACAAGGAAGGGAGCTATTTACCGGACAGAGCATGACGATTTCTTTTGTTTGATATCTCCCTCGACAAATCATCTGGCTTTAGGAGAATCTAATTCGTTTAAGAGCAGGCACAAAAACCCAAAAAAGGACCATGCTAATAATGTGGCCATCTTACATGTTCAACAGAGCCCAAATGTGCAGCAGCAATGCAAATTTAGGAAGTGCCCCCATCGACCAACGGTACAGCAGTGGCAGGGAAGGCCTAATTGTAGATATCTAACATTATTTCGCAGTTATAGTGACAAGCAGGAAAAGGTTGATGCATGTTCCCTCTTACAAAATATTATAAGGGCAACTCAGTTTTCCTAGAACGAATGCTGCCTTCATCCCTAAACCGACTCTTGCATTGCAGCCTCTGCAGGTTGATCATTTTCCCTTGTGCAAACATTAAAATTGGAACTCATGTGCGCATGCTTCGGTCGGAATTTGCGAGGATCATCCTCCCAAATACTTAGCAATAAATTTCAGAGCAGGTCAAGCGGTGGGGTTATCATCCCATCATGTGTTATTCAGAAAGTAGTTTCAACGTTTTAGGGACCACTTTCAGATCCACAAAAACAATTTCATATAGGAGGGATAACCCTTGGTACTTTTAAGGTTTTCTCTTTCCTTTACATTATGAATCCATGCAACTTTGAGTAAGGACTTGTGGCCATTATAACTTCTAAGAAAACTGCACTTGGGTTGATGAGACATTACAGAATTATGATAAAAGAAAGAGCCTCAAGGACATGCAATTTTATCCATCTCCAGGGAATATGGGCCATATATCCTCGAGTCATTAGTTTCACTATTTCATAACTGAATTATGCACAGATATTCTAGGGTAAGATATTATGGATGTTACTGCTAACATCCCTAATGACTTCTTTGGTCCATTAAGTCATACTTCGAAAGCGCAATCGATACTGACTTTTCTTTTTCCTATGTCAAACTTCAGACATATCACAAGGAACCAAATTTCATCCCCAGTGATGCACAAATCTTTACCGAGTAAAAAATGAACATTAAGAATCATGCATACAACAAGAAACAAAATCATACGTACCCCTTCCGTGAGCTACAGACAGCAGGAAACACGCTTATGTCAGTCTGCCCACTACCTGAACAGAAAGGAAACTTTAGATGTACATTCTATCAAGATCGATCTAACACATCCCCACAAAAGCCAATGTTTTCAATGCACAAGCAAATTTCTATATGAGAGAAGTAGAGGAAGAAGGGGAGGGGATGAGAGGACACCTATAGATACATAACAAGGAATGCTTCCATATTTAGGTGTTATATCATTCTTCTAACATGATAACTAATTGTGTTAATCGTGCTAAAGAAAAAGAAATTTACTTCTTTTGGAAAGCAAGTCTCACATGCATTAAATGCTATCACAAAATAGGGATGCATCATATCAACTACAGTCGAAGTTATCAACAAACCTATTACATTATCTCATCATCTTTCCCAGACTTTGCACCTATACTGAATACATAACTACAAGTGACAAACGTGTGTGCAAGTGATTTTTACATATATGTTGTAAGTACAAATGCATATCCATGTTGACAAAGCTGAACAAATCGATAAATGAATATATTGCCCATTTGGCATCAAGCTCTAATAATAAATAGCATAACAATAATAATCTCTTTCCCATATGCTTCTTAAAAACGACTCTCTTGTCCACACGAAGAGACATTTGCTGATTTTTCTTATCAGAGAACTTGGCACCCATAACCCCAAAGATAATAAGTTCCACTTAAGCTTCTCTTTTCGTTGACCTGTTCACTAATCAAGTTAATAGACAATCATGCTCAGAGCAGTCACATAAACACTTTCAGTTCCACCTTTTAATTCTTAGTCGATGACAAAGGATGAAATTCTATTTTCCTAATCAGATACATCCACATAAGTTTCTGCATGATCAAGGAAAATGAGGCAGCTATCACATAGTGATGAGCATGGGAGACATCAGAAGATAGAAAAAACTGTAAACATGAGATAAGACCAGGTTGAAAAAAAAAATCATCAAAATTTCCTAGATATCCATTAGTGGATTCAAGCTTCAGTATTGAAAATCTTCGCTCTTATGGCCACTTAAAAATAAAAGACCAATTGGATGATGGAACGTTTAAGCATGCATAAGGTCTCCCCTTGACAGGATTTCTCTAATATAATATTAATCACATTGTTCAGGAGTAGAAAGTTTTGTTCAAAATTTAGGATACCAATTACTTGGGATCTTTTCTAGCCATTGATATGTATAGTACTTGTAACATTGTTGAGTATCTATGTTTTATTTCTTTTTCCTTAACAACAAAAGAGTGTCTACGTTCTTAAACCTTAATTTCAAATAGTTACAAAACCCTGAGAGAGACAAAGTCTTCATCTTATTTCTCGTGGGGGAATAGGATAGTCCTCTAATATCACCAATATTGCCAAGAAATATTGGCAATCACTAAATTAGTAATCCAATCTCTGTTTCTAAAATCCAGTAATGGGAGAAAAGCAAAACATGGAATCTAGCTAAGTGGGAAGCTCAAATAAGAGTGGATGGATCATGGTGCTCATAAGAGAGAAACACGAGAGGTTGCCCAATCATCTAGTTGGAACCAAAAGAATAACTATCTGATTTACAACATTCTTGATAGTTAATCAAGAAAGAGAGATTAGTTTAGAAAAACCAAGCAAATCTAATAAAGAAAACCTGAAATGAAGTTCAGTGCTAATAAATCATAGTAATGCTGTGTTAGGATCCCTTTATTTTTTGAGCTCTTTGAATAATGTTTTATTGAGTTTGTTTAGTTTAATAAGAGTCAGATAGGGATTTATTTAATATTTATTTATTTATTATTAAGAGTCCAAGTCCTGATGGACTTTGGGCGAAACTCTATAAATAAGGTTGTATCTGTTTTTTTCATCAATCAATGAAATATTATCTAGTCTTTTGATAAACCCTAGGAGGTTGATCCCCTCGAGGTGATCATCCCCTTTTCTCCCCTTTCTTCTATCATAAAACCCTAGGGTCTTATCATTTAGTATCAGAGCAACGATCCTCGACGTTCTTGTTGTAGTGGTGTCGTAGCTATCATCATCTCAAAAAAAAAAAGAGAAAGGAAGAAAAGAGTTGAAACAGGGCAACCACGACGGCCGCAGCCACCGCAGCAGCCGTTGTTTCCTCAACCGCTCGCGATCCTTCGGCGTCGCCAGCATCTCCTTCTGTGGTGTAATAGAAACAAAGCACCCTCTGCTGTCGTAACCGTTGGTTGCCACCACCGCCGCCCGCCTCCCAGCCGCGACCCTCGTTGCCTCCCCTTGGGTCGCAGGCGCAGCCACTAGATCCACCATCCTCTATATCTTGTGCCGCTCGACCATATCCCCCCTCGTTCCGCCGCAACCGGCCTCCAGCACATGCAGCGACCACACGCAATCGACATATGCCACCCCCTCAGTCACTCCCCACGCCGACGCCGCCTCCGCCTTCCGGAGGCCCGGCCAACATCTCCTTCCAGCAGCGCGACCTATCCTGCTCGAACGAGAAACAGCCTCCACCTCTGTTTCCCAACCGCGATCCTCGACATCTCTATAGCCACAACTCCGCCAGAGACGACACTACCAGCATCTCCTACCAGCCACCTCCTAGCCCTCAGCAGCTGCACGTAGCCTCCCAACCGAGAGCAGCGTGAGGGTAGCTACGCCCCATCCTGCTCGAGCAAGAAAGGGTCGCCGCCGTCGCTGTTCTCGGCCAGCGGACCACTCCCCACGCTGATGCCACCTCGTCACAGCGACGGCAGCGCTCTCACCCCAAACGCTGCCCCGGGCCAAACTTCACAACAGCCGCACCGAATAGTGCAATACTGATGCCCTTGACCTGACACCAAAAACAGGAATTGGAGATTACAAATCTGTAGTCTTACGCAATAGCTACCGACAACTTAGTGTAAGCCTAACTAAGCCTTGGAAACCAAAATTAAGAACCGGCTGTAAAAAACCCTTAACGATTTTAAAAAGAGTCTATTTGAGAGCTTCAATAAGTTTCAACAAGATGAAAGTTCAAGCCTTACATTGAACTGATCTGAAGACATAGGGAAAAAGACACAAGCTATCCACGCATGAAGGTGGAATTTTCAAGATAAGAAGATAAAGATCCGGTTAGTTGGATCTCTAGGGCAGAAAAAAATTTTCGTTTTCACAGAACTCCAAAAGAATCCAAGGTGGAAATAGCTTCAATCCAACTAAATGGAGGTGCAATCCAATGGTATAATTGGTACGAAACCTACTGCCACGAGGTCATCTCATGGGAGCAATTCAAAAAAGGGCTTCTCATTCACTTTGGACCATTTGAATATGAGAATGTTGATAGACAGCTCGCTAAAATTCGCTAGATTTCTATAGTGCTAGAATATTATAGCAGATTTGAACGATTGTCAAATCAAGCCAGACTAGTGGGAACATTTAATTAAGAACTTAATCCAGATATCCGGTGTGAAATCAAAGCTCGCCAACCCCGCACTATGACAGCTGCAATTTCATTTGCATGAGGAAAAAATCAGCAGGGAAAATCGTCGAAACAAAAGTGACAACAAACAGATGAGCAGCAAGCCACCCGCCCCATCTATTCCCAGCCGGAAACTACCACCCGAAGACTAACCCGAGAAGAAATCAAGAAAAGATCAGCGAAAGGTTTGTGTTGGCACTATGATGAAAATTGGAGCAGGGAGCACCGATGTAAACAAAGGCAACTTCTGATGATTGAACCAATTGGGAAAGAACCGAAAGCTAACAATGTGGACTCCGATCATGAAGGTATGGATTCTGATGAAGATATTAGATATATCATACATACAGTGCATGTATTAGCCGGCTACTCTAACCCGCAAAGTATGCAAGTTGGAGGAACTTTGGAACATCAGCATGTTATAGTTTTGATTGATACTGGTAGCACTAACAATTTTATGGATAGTAAGGTTGCTAACTAATTAGTCTACCATATTGAAGGTTATGACAAATTCGAAGTAAAAGTCTCTGATGAACGAATTTTAACTTGTGATAGCAAATGTTCGAAGATAAAGTTAATTATACAAGGCCAAGTGTTGCTTGTGAATTTCTTTTTGCTACCCTTGGAAGACTTCCAAGTGGTGCTTGGAATTGAATGGATATCAACCCTGGGTAATGTTTCTTGAAATTTTTCTAAACTAATCATGAAGTTTTTATTAATGAAAAATAGGTGATCCTAAAGGGAAGATGTGGAAGTAAGATCACAACTGCCACTAGCCATCGAATGGAGAGGGTTCTTCAGTAGACTACAACAACTACTACACCGAAAGGCTGACCTATTGCTTACACTATCAAGAAGTGGAGACCGTACTTACTTGATCAATGAGTTGTGATGTGCCGCAGATACCCTGTGACTGAAGTGCTGAAAGAAAAAACCCCCGAGTTTGATGCTGCTCGGCCTTGAAGACAAGACTGATTTGAAGGGAGAGGAATTGTTAGGATCCCTTTATTTTCTAAGCTTTTTGAATAATATTTTATTGAGTTTGTTTAGTTCAGTAAGAATCGAATAGGGATTTATTTAATATTTATTTATTCATTATTAAGAGTCCAAGTCCTAGTGGACTCTAGGTAAAACTCTATAAATAAGGATGTATTTGTTTTCTTTCACCAATCAATGAAATATTATCTAGTCTTTTGATAAACCCTAGGAGACCGATCCCCTGGAAGTGATCAAGAAGGTCGATTCCCTCGAAATGACCATTCCCTTTTCTCCCCTTTCTTCTATGATAAAATCCTAGGATCTTATCATGCTGCCACAGCCTCAACAATTGACATGCTCAACATTTTAGTCAGTCATTGACCTCATCATAGGAGAGAGTGGACCAGGAAAGAAGACATGCTGGAAAGTTTTTTTTTCCCTTTTTCGCTTAAACAAAGACTGATTCTATGTTTTGCTGGTGGATGCATGCATGACAATTTTCTTTGCGTTTAAATAACAGAATGGTATTGACCTACAATTGCTCAAAAGTTTTCTTAATGATTCTTGTAATTATAAACCTTCTTTCAAGAAAAGCGATGCCTGTTGAATTCTGATTCTATGCTGAAGAAGGGTGTCTCCTTGCCAAATTCCCCTTTTAGTCTTGTACTCTTGTTTAGCTCTAGCCTAAAGGATTACATTCTAATAATGGATATGAAATATCGAGACATGGTCGTATCTCCATTAGTTTCTTTCCTAAGAATTGGACATTATTTAATTGTAAAAGCTTTACACAGAATGGCATTTCATGTTTAATGTTAGTATTTATCTTAATGCTCAAAACAAATACAGAAGTAATCTGAAATACTATCCTGTTATTACAACTGGAAAACTCCCATCATTGCAAGGATATAGCATAAAAAAAGCAAGCACGGCCAGATTAGTCTAAAATCGACTTGCCATAAACATCTTACTAAAATCGTCGTATTCTGGGTAACGATGACTCATCGGCGCCTTTGGACTCTTTAATTCTGCTAGGAACCAAAGGCGAATCCTGCTGAACTACTATGATTTTGGTTAGACATCAGGGATGTTCCAACAAGCAAGAATATTACCAAATCCTCTCACATCTTATAAATATATCCCTCCGTCAAATAATCATCAGACTTACATAACCATCAAATCGATACTCTTGCCAGATATCTCAAAAGCAATTTCAGATCCACAGCCAATAAAGCCAACAAGTGATCATCGAATTCCAAAATATGATCTACCATTATGCAATATACCAACCGATCAAGTCTTCAAGATAAAAACATACAACACAAAAAGGACGCTCGATAACCAATCACAGTTTACAGAGGAAGCGATAAATGCTCAAAAAATCCCGCTCTAATTGCATCCCAAATCAACCACACTAGAAAACAGGGAAGAGAAGCGGAGGCCTCACCGAAACGGAATTCCTCACTGCGGCAGCCGGCCTGGCGGGTGCGGAAGCTCTCGGATCGAGTAGCCAGCGCCTGCACCGACAGAGGGGGGCGCCGCCGCTGCTGAAGCGGAGGGGGAGGGTGGACTTCACCCCGACTGCGCAACGAGAAACTCCACCGGAAGAATCCCTCCCTCTCCGGATCTGTCGACCGACCCCTATTCTCTCTCCTTCGCGCTCCTCGCTCTCTTGAGATTTATAGAGAGAGGGACCGGAGGAAGGAGGCAGAAACGCTTCAAAGGAAGAAAGTGTTTTCAAAAAATGATCGATTTGGAAGCAAAAGGCACGAAAGCGTTGCATAAATTTGTCTCCGTGGGCTCACTCCGCAACTTCGTTCCCTCTCATTATTTCTTGAACCCATTTGATAGGGAACGTCATCTCCGACGCGACAATAGTTGGCAGACACCTCAGCGCCTCAGAGCCCACGTAGCGCTTCAGCCCGACGTGGTACCTCAGAGTAGACAGGACGTACGCAGGCGGAGCAATCGATTCCCACGTCATCCGAGGACGCCACATAACACGGTACCATACAAACCGACTCACACTGCACGAATCATACGGGGCGACTGCTCGAGACATATACGATCGACGACCGTTATCGAGTTATATACGATCGACTCTAGTAGTAGGTATAAAAGTCGATCGCTAGGTATAAAAAATTTTGAACATTAAAAACATCATAAATTTTATTTGATATTGACTTTAACTTCGAAGAGGTCGAATCGAGAGTTTTCCTCTTTTCAATTTGAACATATGTGCAAAAATTTAATACGAAAAAGTTCAATATGAAAATTTTGACATCTTGTTCTACCTCGGATTGGCTTAGCACATGACGTTCTGACTCAATCTGACATCGACCCTCTCGATTGTAGAATCTATCATGGATGACCTCATATTTTCGAGATCGAATCAAACCGTGCTGACTTTTTTATCACCACGTAAAGTTACACAATACTATTTATTATTATTATTATTATTATTTTATTTTTCAGCTAACATATCAAACAATTTCTAATAATAGATTTTAGCTTCATCAGATATGATACGGATTTGAGTTTGATGTGGTGGATCAGATAAACCGCTAGTTTTAATACTACGATACAATTAGCTCTACACAATATATACAGTTTGAACATTTGACTCGATTTCGGTCACTCGTGGCATGTGGACCGCACTGGTATCCAAGTATTATAGGAATTCGAATTGTGTCGGCCCCTCTATTCAATCATGTTCTTCTCGATAAGAACTCGACTTTAGATATTTACACATGCATATAATATTAAAAAATCACAAATATTACGTCACTTGGATCCTCGAACAATATCTAATTTTCGTCTATATCTTAAAGAGATTAAAAGGGTACGGCTAAGGAGTTACTGACCAACGACAAATGAGAACCAGTCCGCATAGGGTAATATCCTGCGGCGTCAACCTGCCATGGGAGGAGAGAGGGTAAAGCAGTGACATCCAGCATCCAATCTTCTACCTTTGTTTCTCGATTAAATTTGAGGAGACGTAATCGAAATAAATAACAGGGAATTCACGTATTTAATATCACACACTCGTAGCTTTCAGCAGCGAAGTCGGGCAACAATCGCATCCATGGCAGCCGGCCACAGATTTCCTTGTGCAGTTGATCCAACTGGTTCGCAAGCTCAACCCCCACACAGTAACACAAATCATGTGTGATCGGAACAGAAGAGGAAGGTAGATGTATTGGTTTCTCACGGAAGCTCTCTTTACATGGATGAAGAGTTGACTCCGACAACGCATCTTGGATTGGTTCACTAACAAACAAAAGAACTACAACTAGGAACAAGCAAAAGGAGCTATCTCTATTAGCAACATATAAACATGGTCTCTTCTTCCTTCTTCCTTCACAAGATCTAGTGCGAGCTGTCGCCGCCGCTGCTGCTGCTCCAGTCGTCACCGGAGCTCTCGGGGCTCGGCGCCTGGTTGAGATCAGGATTCTTGAACCGTTTCTGATCTCCTTCCCCACGCCGGTCCTCCCGAGCGCCGAACACCGCCGCTCCGCTCAACTGGAGCGCGTCGACCTTGGCGCCGACCTCGGCCGCCTTCTTCCTTATCAAAGCCGCGGACATGGCGGCCGCCGCCCCGCGGGCGGCGTCGCCGTCGTCGACGGAGATGTCGTCGGGGAAGTTGAGGCGAGCGGTGCGGCCCCGGAGGTAGAAGAGCGCGGTGTCGTAGGCCCTGGCGGCGGCCACGGGGGTGGAGTAGGAGCCGAGCCATATCCTGGACCGCTTGTTGGGCTCCCTGATCTCCGCCACCCACTTCCCCCACTTCCTCATCCTTATTCCTCGGTAGGGCCTCTCCTTCCCCCTCGTTGCCGCTTTCTTCGATGGCAACAGCCCCTCCATCTCCATCTCCATCTCTCTCTTCTCTACCAGACCTCTCTCCCTCCCTCCATCGCATGATCCCATTGCAATCCAAAGCCCTGGATGGAAACTATATAGACCCCTCCTCGTCGGAAAGATTACGGAGGGGCCTCAAAACCAATCCCGACCGTCCATCATAATCAAGTCAAATTGAACGGGCTGGATAGAATCTGCAGAGGAACACTTGGCTGCACATTTGGAGGGCGCGCAATACTTAGCGTGGAGGCAGGCAGCGAACGCGTCGTTCTCGCCACTGTTGGATTGCTTATCCGGTAGCCAAGTGAATGACACGGAAAAGATCAAGGAAACGACAATCTAGCGTGACGCCGTTAGTGCGACGGAAAGCCACAGCTTGTCATCATCTTCCCCATAATCCGTGACGGGGCCGTCAAGAAGATTAACGGAAATATTAAAATAGTGGGGAAAGAAGAGGAAAGGGGTGGCACGCAAAAGACGGGGAATAGGACGGCCGTGTGTCGACCGCCGCAGCCGCCACGTTACCCGGCCGACAATCTTAGGCGGTGCGTGACCCCGAGCATTGAAAAGGATTATTTTGAATTAATAATTGTTTTATTTTTCCTGCATTTTTCAATGGCCACGTGTCGTTGGGCGGCACGTGTGGAGACGTCTCCTCCTTCGTCACGGAACCACACGCGGCAGGCGGCCGCCACCATCACGGACGGTCGGATGGAGACCTGCGGACCCGATCTGACGGCTGCCGGCGAAGGGCGGCGCTTCCGGAGGACAATGAGGTCGGTGATCTGCCAGCCGCGCCTACCGCGAAACCGCGGTGGAGGGAAAAGTATATATTTATCCTTGTAATAAGGAATAAAGAAGATAAAACAATAAGCATAAAGAGACGCGTCGTAGTTAATATGGGTACGAGACGGTCGTTGAGATGCATTAAATGGGTGAGACCGGGGAATAGGTCCCGTAATTTAGGCTACGACGGGGAGGGGAGGGGAGGGGAAGGAGGCAGAGTCAGTGCGACGTGTGCGCGGGTGCGGAATGGGTCGAGTGAGGTTGGTGAGGGAAAGCGACGACGCGGACCAGATGAGATGAACCCGACATGCATGCGGCCTTGGTTTGACCTTAGGCGACGACTGGGGAAGGTGGGTAAACAAGCCGCTCGAGTCTACCCGACATTGCTTGGGCCGCAAACGGAGGCCACTTTTGACTTGAGATCTTAGCTGTGTTCATAAACAATGTGATGTATATTGTAGGAGAAGACATTTGGCAATACATAAACGGAAAGGGAAACATGATTAATTTTAAAGGATAATTGTAAACGAAGTGTATCATATTCGATCAAATAACTTTGATGATAAACCAAAGTACTCTTTGTTTTCTGAATTGAATTCTGTCACTGTCAGGTGACTAAACGATAGCTGGTTTTCAGCTCTCCGACTACTGTAGTCCCTCACTTTTTACGAGATCAGATCCCAGCTGAGTCTATGCTTTCATTTGGGCATGTGGCTCAACCTGAGGCAGGAAACGTTGTAGTAATTTGCTAAATTGATTCATCACATTTCCATTGAGCAGGTGCAGCTTAGTGAATCACTCTTACAGCAAGTAGGAATCTTCCATTAACATGCAATCAGCAGCCTATCTGTGCGCATCTGCGCACCCAATCCCAAAAACTTTCTCGGATCATACATTATTCCGACTCTTGGTATCAGCATAAATATATCTTATCCTTTGACATCTGAAATCTATCGATGACCGATTAATGATGCAGGAGATCCAATAAGTTAGTCATGCATATTGTATCACTTGGTGAGGTCACTCTGTTAGGGTTGACACTATCTTCCTTCCACAGACAATTATTGTATCCGAATCCTATTTTTCCTGATCAGGAGAAAGGATCTCTGGGAGACACAAGTGGGGCATATCCTTCATCTTTCAACTGCTTCACTAAACCATCAAGAGCTGCATAAATATCATCACACTGCTTGTGAAGCTTATCGGCAGTAAGAAACCTGTGCACCTCCCTGCCACCAACCTCAACCCAGCTAAAACCAGGGCACTTGTTCACCCCAGCATCCTTCATGGCGGCTCGGACATCCGAAACATCCCTCCACCTAGATGCGTCTGCATAAACATTAGACAGCAACACCCAGTAGCCCGAATGCTGAGGATCCAATTCAATCAGACGCTTTGCCGCAACTTCTGCAAGTTCAAGATTCCCATGAATCCTACAGCTGCTCAGCAGTGCACCCCAGATGCAATCATCTGGCTCTACAGGCATGTCTTTGATGAACCGGTAAGCTTTCTCGAGCTGACCTGCTCTACCTAAACCATCTACGATACAGGAGTAGTGATCCACATCAGGTACGATCCCATGTTCGCTGGTCATTGTTTCAAAGTAATGCAGACACTCATCGAGCAATCCCGCATGACTACAAGCTGATAGGAGTGCAATGAAGGTGACACGATTGGGCTTCCAACCCTCCTCTTTCATCCTGCTAAAAAGCGAGATGGCCTCCTGAGGATGCGCACTGAAACCGCAACATGAGATAACAGTATTCCATGAGATAACATCCTTCAAGGATATCTCCTCAAAGACATTTCGAGCTTCTTCTACGCACCCACATTTCCCGTAAGCATCCATGAGCGAATTCTGCACAACCTGATATGAGCAATAGAACCCACTCTTAACCATATGCCCATGCAATGCCATTCCTTGCCTAAGATATGATGAGCATGCACATGCATTGAGTGCAGAGCTGAATGAGAACTCGTCGGGCCTGACACCCTCTGCAATCATCTGCCGGAAAAGTTCAAATGCACCATCAGTATCGTGTGTCATCACGTACATTGCCACCATGGTATTCCAGGACACGACATCCTTCTCTGTGATTGTCTGGAAG